GCTCTGAAGTTCATTTAATAGTATTCTAACAATTGTACACATAACTAAATAATTTCATCATTCCAAATATATGACTTTTTTAAACATCGAATATTCATCACTACAAATTTCTTTGGTAATTCATTAAGACAAACTAGCCGAAGTAAGTGTATATCTAAATATAAAATATTTTTTAATAATTTTGCGTTATAAGATTCTTACGTAAGTGATCCAGAAGTTTATGCTTTTTTACCAGATAAAATATTATGACATGACAAAAAGTAAAATCCAAATTCAAGATAGACATAAAATCATATCAATAGATGGATAAATAAAATGTCAAATTGTACACGCTAAGAAAAAATATTCACCTTTTAATTCTTTTACTTCTTTTACTTCTTTTACTTCTTTCAGTAACGTGCGTATATCCAACGTCAAGATATTTCAAATTCTATTGATTAATGTACATTTACCGATTGTAGAAAATATCGCATTCTTGATACGCGTTTTATTTAAAATATGGTGGGTAGGTTCGCGCAGGCCTATTTAAATAATTTATCTGAAAATTAATCGCATTTTAATTTGGTATTTAAATCTTTGTAATAATATGTATTATTAGTGGTTGGAATCGTATCGATTTATAATCGGATATTCGGTTTAAAATATCTATCCGATTTAAAGTAAAAGATATATCGGTTTTAAATTTGACTTTGTAACTAAAATCGGATTATCGGTTTTAAACCGGTTTTTTTATAAATATAAATGTAAGATATATAATACATATATAAATAATTTTATTGGTTAATACATATATATAAAGATCGTTATAATAAAAATAAAATATATATTGATATATAAAAATGTTTATAAAAATATATACGTATAATCTAAGTATATTGATATATAAAAATGGTTATAAAGATACATATATACGTATAATCTAAGTATATAAAGTTATTATGGAGGAAAAATTTGGTTAACAATATTCATATTGCGTTTGAGAAATAAAATTCTTTCGAACAACATGTATTAATATATAACAATCTATGAATAGACAAGTGGAAATAAGAATATCAATAATCGTATTAAAAAATTTCAAATTAAACTAATAAATATGAAGATGTGATTGAACAGATTCTATTTGACAGATTAAAAAATTGGCGAAGAAGAATTTGGCTCTATATTAATTAAGAAAGTATCAAAGATTTCTACTGAATACTGTAGTATTTATATTAATTATCAAATAAATTTTTTTAATTATGAAACCGGATTATAACGATATAAATCCGATATGAATTTGATAAAAAAGATAGATAACCGATTATTCTTTATAAAAAAAGAATGAATATCCGGATAAGCAATTTGCAATCCGGTTCCAACCTCTATGTATTATGGATACAATACCATCTAGATAAACAATACTAGAATTAAATTCTCCAAATCTACGTATAAAAGATTATTAATGAAATTTGATAACAATAACTATGCAAATTTCATAAATTAAATATCTGTTAAGGCTGGCATTCCAACACAAGTCAATTTTATTCTAGACAATGAAAAAAAAAGTAAAACGAGTTTCAATAACTTGAAATAATTAATGAAAATGAAATTCATTATTTAACTCTAACCTTTTCGCTCCTTCAAGGTGCATAACTTCCGAATCAGTTACTTTTATAAAATCAATCAGATCCATTTTACTAATGGTGTCGTAACCATGAGAGAGACTTGGCTAATGTGAAGTCATGGATGTTTATATAAGATTCGGATAGTGAGTTATCAATTTTAGTTAGGTAAGGTCAAAATACGTATTACTCGCTATAATCTTTCAAACTACCTCCCTAGCATTACTAGTTTAGGCGTAATATTTATGCGTTCAAAATAGTCGTGGTCTGAAACCAAGATTTATGGTCTCAAACCAAGATCCGCGGTCTCAAACCACGATCTGTGGTTTTAAACTCTGATCTCCTATATATAGCCACTTCATAATGAAATACAGCAAAAATATATACATGGAAAAATTTTTACAACAACGGCAATTCTATAAAGAACATATAATAAGATTAAAGACACTTTAAAAAAAAGTAACATCTAAATTTATCAGAAATGTAAGAGATTTGTACTCTACAAATGTAAGGTTTATAAAGATTATAAAGATAATCACTTTTACCATTTCAATCCAAATTGAGCCATATTTTAATTTGGCATATGAATTTCGTTACATTCTGATCACAAAGTCGCGTCTAGATAAATCACACTTTTCTAAACCCGAAATTAAAAGGCTTTACTTGTACAGTGGTGTTAACTGTACACTATTAAGATTGAATCGAAGATCCACAATGCTGTTATAAATAGAAAAAAAAAAGATATTGGATTCAAATTCATAACTTTCATTAAAAATTCATTCAATCTATTACATTGCAAGTTCGCGAAGACAGTATAACGAGTTTAAATCTTTCAAAGTACGCAGTCTGCGAAAGAGTAAGTAGACCATTAAACTTGAAGCGAAGGTACAGCATCACATCAATATCCTACTTATTTTTGACGCATTATAATACCGATTATTATGAAAAAAAAAAAAAATTACAAAAAAAAAGGTTATAAAAAGTAAAAAAAGTTAGTTATAAAAAATAAAAATGATAAAAATTAAGCTTCATATATATATATTGATATTTTTTTGGGCATTGTATGTTAACTTCGTAAAATTAAATGGATTTAAACAATGATACTCATAAAAAAACAAAGACCCACTGATAATTTTAAATAATTCACATTAGCGGCTATATATGAACAGCTCTTAATTTTGCTGTTTGTTCTGTTGTGACTGCAGTTACTTGGAATTTCTGTTTTTTTTTTACTAGTTCAGACATTTGCTCTTGGATCGTTGGATTATTTTAGTCACGTGCAGTGATCGTATCAAATTTTATGCCAAGTAGAATAATATCGAGTGCCACCATATTCCATATCTTGATGAACTTGACAAGTTATGGTGCAAAATTTTAATAAGACAAATTTTTGTTTACCATGATTATGATTTTAAGTTTTAATCTTTAGCTTTTTAATAGTTCCACCGTAAAGGTATAAGGAACCTCAATATGTTTACTTGTAGAGTTTCATAAAAATGTTATACAATGATTATGTTTGTTATGTTTGAACGATACATAATATGTCTTTGATTTTTTTTGATTACTCTTATTGTTTAATATAAAAAAAAAGAAAAACTTGAAGCCATATCGAATGAAAAGGTGATTAAAAGTAATATTTCTCTACTTAAAATCAGTGTAGTTGACGTATGTACATTTCCCAATCGGTATAAAATTTATAAATAACATAGTTACTCATAAAGAATATTTGAAGCTTTATAAATTATGTTAGGGTGATGATACAGATAATCGTCTTGCGGCTGAAACTGTTTTTCGTGAACTTAAAATCATAAACTTGGTCAAATAAATTAATTTTTTTATAGTTATAGTTATTTAGACTGATGCTAGCATTTTTGTAAGCATGTACAATATTTCGTTTAATCAATAAACACTACTTATTAGTTTGTTTGAGAAAGAATTTAAAAAGGTAATAAAATTGTTTGTTTCAAAAACTCGTTGTTTTGCACACGATTTACATTTAAATGTCTAACAAAAATCAAGTTTTTTTTTTTACTGAATTATACGTACATACATACGTTTATAGAATACTTTTTTATGGTAAAAAAACTCTTACATTAAATGTTACGAAAATAATTTGCTTTACTTATTATAGTTTTAATTAATTGCAAAATTTTTTTTCTATTTTCAAAAAATTTTTTTCTTATTGATACTAAAAGAATATTATTTTCTTAAAACATTTTCTTCGTAAAAAAGTTATTAACTGATAAACTCCTTGTCAGAACTAATATTATTCGAACGGATCATGATAGGCATTTTTAAAACAAAGATCTTTAATTTGTTTTTTTTTAAAAAAAAACCATCGTCAACGATAATTGCTTTTTGCTATATCAGACTCAACCTATTGAAATAGATTCAGTCTATTATAAGTGGGCTAAAGTAATTAGATATTATTACTACTTAATGGTATTCCATATTTTTGGTTTTTCTGCGAACAACAAAATTCATAAGTAAATTGGAATGTTGTGTGACGAATAATTGGTGGTGAATAAGCATAGACTAATATAGTCAATTAGTTATTACTTATTTGCCACGTAAAAGATTTGTCACATCCTCTGTGCCAAATGACATATGCATACGCAATTGTGACCTCACCATCCATACGCATGTGTTTGATAATAATTTTAGTATTATACGTACACCACACTTATTCGTGTTACTCTTAAAAGTGAACCCTGGCGGTTTATAAGAAAACCATTTTTAATTTAAAGAATTATTTTATCAACTAGATCATACATGATATTAGTTAACCTTTTTGTATTTATTTGAGATTTATTACTAAACTTTTTAACGTGTATTGGTCGTAAAATTAATTTATAAACATTATTAAATAAAAGAATACAATGTTTCTTTAAATTCAATAACGATAATATTAGACTAAATGTATGATGAAGAAACGAAAAGAAACATACTTTTTTGAAATAAAAAGTACACAATTTTAATAAGAAATAGTTTGTTCTCGTTCTATTAATAAAATTATCGTATCATTAGAATTTTTTTATTTTGGTGAAATTACATTGGCTGATTAGTGCGCCAAAAACCTGGTACGTACGTACATATTCAAGATTTGCGTTATACATATTGAGCAAATTCTTTAAATCAAAAACTTTTTCAAATATAATAATGAATTTTTAAAAAAAAAATAAGACGTAAGTACGGTGTCATACATTTGATGATGAAATTCTGATAAATTCTACGGCGAAAGCATGTGATTAAAGCATAACATACATAACTATTACGTATTGATCTGGATTTCACAAGTATATACAAAACAGCTTAAAATTTTATAAATTTGGATATCCAGCTGAATTTTTTTTACTATAAAAACACTTCATCTTTAACGACTTTTATCTTATTCCTACTATGTCACAATATAAAGAACAAGCTAAAGAAAAGATTAACGAAGTTAAAGAAGATGTCAAATCTTCGACGCCATCTGTCGATCCACCGCCAAATTCTTCTAATGCTGAAAAAGCCGGAGGTTCTATAACAACTGTGAGCTCACACTTTGACCCTTATCCGCACTACTTCATGTCTTTTGCAAGTAGGTGTTAAAATAAAATTTTTATTATTTTGTGGAAAATATATTTGATTTTTGAATAAAAGATAACTAGTTACTTGCTGACCGAAATTTTAAATTTTTTTTACAGCTCTTCTTGGTGGTGGTTATGCATTTCAATGTTTAAGACAGCCTAGAACTGCTGCTATTGCTGCGGCACTTGGTGTTGCTTATGGTGCAGCAGGGTATGTATTAAATTTGAGCTTACGAGAGTCTGAAGAAAATTTCTCATTTGATTTTTCTTGACGTTTACTAGATATTTAATTCATAAAAATGATTATAATGCGGGGTATAACGTAGCTACTTGTAAGTGTATATTTATTACTAGATCTATTTCAGATTGAAATATTGGAAAAACATTCTTTTGCGTTATCAATGACAATTCCTTTTAATATCTTTTTTTTTTTTTTTTTTAATTAAAAAAAATATATGCGAATAAATCATAGTGGCTTCAGTTGGCCTTATTGCTACTTCTGGTCCAGCAGCTTGGGCTGCTAAAGATGCATATCATGTTGCTTTGGGTTCTTTGGGGGCTATTAGTTTGGCAACCAACACATTGAAAATTTATCAATTGAGAACCGGGTTGCCTCGTGATCTAGAAGTTAGACGTCAAAAATAAGTTTATCTTGTAATTTCATAAATGAACTTTCGTTTTCAGCTTGCATTATATACTGTATATTGCTCTTGCAACGTTTTATTAGTGATATTTTAAAATTTACTAGTTCAAGATTTGCTATAGCCGTTATAATAATAATTCAATAAAAGGTTTAGATCTTAATTTCAAGATTTTAAATTTCATTTACAATTTTTTAAAATTTGTTGTTAGTATTACGCTAAAAGGATAAATAAAGTTGGCCAAAACTAATAACGACTTAGTTGATTACCATTAATTACCGCTTAATACATTTTTAGATTTCATATAAAAATAATATCACCATGACTAGGACCCGGTATTATTCACCGTACGTACCTATCAATCTAATTCTTGAATATCTGGTATGTACTTGTTATTGGTTAGGTTGTGATTTATCGTTAGGTTACTATATAAATGGCGTGGCTTTGCCACGTCATTTATATTGTTCCTTACGAATAATCAGTTTTCATTACAACTTAACTGATAACATTTTTATCCGTAAGGTCCGACGTAAGCACTGCCGTTTTTCGTATATATTATTCGATCTTTCTAATCATTAGACTCACTTTTACTCTTTTTTTACGTTCGCTTACTTTTCCACTTTCGCTCATCATTTTTTTCGTTTAACTTTTTTTTTACTTTTTTTCCTTCGTTAAATCATTTTTCCTTAACTTTCACTAATATGAATTTTATGAGTTACGCAAAAAGAAATAATATCAAAAAATTGAGTTTTCACATGATTAGATAGTGATCGAATAATATATACAAAAAACGTCTAGTGCGCACATAGGACCTGTCGGGTAATGTATACTTATTTGTAAATAATTTATTATCTGTCAATGAAATTGATATGTCAGCTTCTGGGTACCCAGAAATGACAAATATTAAAATTCGTATACAATAATGGTGTTATCCGGTACGACGATTGTACTTGCTAAATGACCCGTGTTTTTTTGCTAGTGATTACGTACTTTATATTTATATAATTTTATGTTATGATATAGAAATACTTTTATTTGTATAGTTATATTTTTATACTATTAGTACTGTATTTTTAAAATTTTTTAAATTTATAAATTTTTTTTTTATATAAATCTTATCAAAATATATTTTAATAAATAAAATATAAATTATAAACCTAAAATTAAAAATCAATAAAAATATAAATTAAAAAAATATATTTAAAAGAGTATATATATTTAAAATTTAGTTAAAATATTTTTACAAATTTAGTTATTTGAAAAATATATATTTATAATAATTTAATTTAAAATATTATTAATTAAATAAAATATTTATTTTAACTTTTAACTTGTATTTATATATTATAAGTAATAAATTACCAATATAATTACATAAGTTTATATTTCTATAATATACTGTATAGTATTTAATATATAGTAATTGTTAAATATAATTTTATTGAAGTTTAAAGCTAATTTTTTTTAATTTGAATATGGAAAGATTGTTTATATATTTTATATCAAGATAATATATTGTGGAGCTAAAATAAATTTTTTGACATCTATAGTAAGTGTAGTATTTCATCTTATAATTCTTTATATATAAACTAAAGACTAGCTACTATTAGTTTTAAAGAAAACTCTTATAAAAACAAATTTAAATTTTAACTAAAAATTTAAATTATTATACTAGTATTTCAGTTATAAATAAGAAATTCTTTTTCAAAAAATAATTATAAGTGTTTTTATTTAAATTATATTATATATTTGTTTATTTGCTAGTGTTATAATCATAAATTAATGTAAACTTAACAATTTAACTTGTATACAAATAAAAATATAAATGTATGATTCGGTCGATCAAATTCAATTGGTGTTAATAATATAAAATTCAGGAGTAAAATTTTAGATTTTACAAACTTAGACCCCTTCAAAGCGCGGTAATTTTTCTAGTTCATAGACTATATGATTACCTTATTGCACCATTATTATTATTATTATTATATTAAATCATTTGCTCCGGTCATAGATATAGACTTATGATGTCATTTAGCTGCGTCCTACGTATCATATATAAAAGTTATGTAAACCCGGTTTATACGTAAAATTATACTCAATTGAGCCGTTTTTAGTAGTGACAAGCCTACATCTACAATCCAATTCTAATAGTTTTTTTGTAAACTATATTTATATAAATTTTAATTGATAAAATCAAATAGTTACCAAAATATTTATTTTATAATGAACGATAAGGTTTTACAAAATTAAACCTCGCGTGTTACATACATAATCCGGAATTTCTTATTCTTATCGGGGGTAAATAAAAACCAGGGTGAAATTAAATAAGATTTTAAATAGGAACTTTTATAATACTTTTTTGATGTATATATTTTATTTTTGGTAATGATGTACCGAATTATGTATGTGAGGATTTTCATTTTTGAAACACAAAACTCTTGCAGAACATATAAAGGGCATTTATAACAGTTCATCCTTAACATTAACATTAAACGAATTCGCTTATAAAAATTAAAAAATGAAAAATACCAATGACGAGCGGGTGATCCTTAACGTTGGTGGCATCAAAGTAAATATTCATTATCATTAATTTTCTTGTAAATTATTGTCGCGGCTGAAATTAAACGGCTGAAGTTGGAAATTTTAAATGTTTAATATGAGATTTTCAAAATTTTTTGGAATGCATTTTTTTTTTAAAGGTTTTTTAAATATATAGTTTTAGGTTAGATTTTAGGTTGGCTTTTGATAACAAAAATAGTATAAATGGATTTTGGTAGTGTTTATATTTTTAAATCGATGTCTCTAATTTCCAGCTTAAGCCGCGACAATTACATATCAGCATATGATTAACGGATGAGATTTATTTATAGTATGAAACATATAGATCAACATTAACTGCATATCCAAAAACGTTACTTGGAGCAATGTTCCAAGAAAGAAACGGAGCGATGCTTCATCCGACGAATGGCAATGAATATTTCTTTGATAGAAATGGTCGAGCATTTCATTACATAATGGAATTTTATCGGACAGGTGAAAATGTGTGGCCCGGTGAAGATACCTTAGAGCAAAGCTACACATTAGTCTCACAACAAGAATTAATTAAAGAAATCGATTACTTTCAAATTCCTATAAATTTAGGTCGAGCACATACTGACATAATTCCTGACTCAAAAACTTTGGCTTCAAGATTAGATGAATTTGTTAACGCATTGATTGATAGCATTTATGATATGAGATTCGAATTTCTTAATAATGTTACAATTAATTTTTATAATCGAAAAAAAGTTGTTGAAGGAGATCCAAGTACAATGTATTCACTTTGGCCTTATATTGAGACTGTACAAAGACGTTTAAAACCATTTGAGACAAGTGGGAGTAGAATGTTGGATCTTTTTGGTGATCAGATTGTCGCAAAGTTGAATTCTAAAGAAAATATTAAATGTACGATGAAAAAATATGCTTATGGTACTGATTTGGTGTTTAGATTCGAACAGGAGTTTAACACTAAGGAAATTCTTAGTTATTGTAAAGAACTTGAATAGTTAATTTATCTTTTTTTTTCTTTATCATCTATAAATTCTCATTTTCTTTTATTGTTTGAAATTTCGTCATTTTCTATGGGGTGTTTTTTTTTTATTTAAATATTGCATGTACTTTCATTACTACAATATATTCACATTACTAACATATACATATTAAAGTGCTTTCTCTAAATGTACTGTACGCCGTCTTTATGATTTTTTGAAGCTTTAAATTTTACGATGAATGACTTAAAATAACAAACTGTAGTTAACAGGCATAAAATATATTTTCAATTGATTTAATAAAAAAGACAAGCCTTTTACGCTTTAGATATATATTTGATAGCTATTTATTAAAAATTGCAAGTAGTTTTATTAAAATTTTGATTTTTGAAACAATTCGTAACTTATAATTTTTTAGCAAGTCAAATTTTAATTTAAATTTATATAGCTGTAAAATTTTAGCTTTAATCAGAACATCTTAAAATTTTTACAAAATTATTAAATACTAAAAAACATATCAAGCTTGGTTAATAAACGGGTTTGTTAAATCATGCCAGTTGTGTTTAACATTACCGTTGCTATATATAAGTAATTAACGTTTGATATTCTAAGCAAAATTGTTTAGCACCCAAAAAGCTTTTTATTTGGCTTTATTTTTAACCCTGACTTTATTTTTAACCCTAACTTTATTTCTAAAATTCAATTTAATTTTCAAATATTAAATTTGTATATTAAAATTTTATTAATATTTACTGTATTATGTAAAATCATTATTTTTAGTAAACTTAATAATATAGTATAATTTATACAGTATTTTTAAACTTTATAATAATTGCAAGTTACTTTCGTTATAGTGAAGTGATCGGGTTATAAGATTTTCTTAACTATATTGAGAGTTTATTAGTTTTTATAAACAGGTCTTCACTATAATGGTGGCTCACTATAACGGGAGTTCATTACAACGAATGACTTGTATCTAATTTTGAGATTGATTTATAATTAGAAAATTATTAATTTCGTATTTTTTGATAATATCACACTCGAAATATAAATAATTTTAAATTTAAACTTAAAGATATTTTGACATTTATTATAAAATCAAATTAATAAATTTTTATTTGAATTTTACAGATTTTTACAATTAAAATAAAATTATTTAATTTGTTAAATAATTCTTAAAGTATTTTAAATTAAACTTTTAAAATAATTTTTATTTATAAAATTTCGTATATATTTTTGATTAAAATTATATTAGGGAAGTGTCATTTATCATTTGATTCTTTTAGCTAGGGAGTGGGTGCCAAAATATCATGTTAATAGATCACATGTGTATATGTTTTTATAATCGTAATTATTTAAAAGGTGAATTTTACTATTTACAAAAAATCAGCTAATAAATAACACTTTTTTTCTTAGCATTTATTTAATTAAATTTAATAATTTTTTAACAAATTTTTATAATAAAATAAAAATATTATATTTATAGTATAACACCAAGTTTTATAACACTCTATATATTTTGAATTGGAGTTGAGGTGCAGCTTTAAGATATATAGAAGTTTTTTATATAATATAATATATAAAGTTCTAATTTTAATTTTTGTGAGATTTTTAAAGGTCCAGAGCAGTTTTATTTAAGATATCTAATCCTGTTTACTTAGTATATTTTTAAAATATAGCATAGGGTTAGCATAGATATTATATAACATAGTGTTATAAATATAACTTTTTAAAAATTTATTATATCTTTTTTTTTTTATAATGCCAAAGTAGAAACTTTATTATTGTAATAATAGTTGTATTATATAAAAGATTTTTAAACTATATTTGTGCTACTTAAAAGTTACCCAAATATAACATTATACCCTATTTCCTATAATGCTGTTTATTAATTATTTCAAATTAATTTCTAGCTAGAATTAGTTGGAGAAAACCTAAGAAAAAAATTTTTATTATATCTAATTAGTAGATATTAAAAAAATATTTTAACCAAAATCTTTAATATAGTTTATATAGTATTAACAAATATTAAAAATTAATAAATATTTTAACTAAATTTAATATAAATTTGTAATTTTCTATATAGTTAAACCTCTTTATAATTATTATATATATATTACATTATTTTATAAGTTTATTTTTTTAAAAAACAAACTATAGTTGTTCTTCTCTAATATAATCACAACCTTTATATTTACTTTTATAGCAAAAAAAGAAGATAAACCAAAATTTTTTAAAAAAATTTAATATCTTGAATCAATTTGGCAATTATACTAATACTTTATTAAACTTAATACTCTATCTATTTCATATCTATTCCATACAAGTATAATTTTATAGCCAATTAGCTATATCTATTTACAAGTATTAACTAATCTAGCTCTTTATGACAAAAGTTTAAATTACTCATATTTAATCTGCTATAGTAAACTTCTTTTTTGTACTATTTTTCCTGCAACTAAAATATTAGTATATCACTAGAATGCTTTTATATTCTAGCTTATTATAATTGTCTTCTCTTTTCTTTCTTCTAACTACTATATAAAAAAAAACTTTATAATCAAAGAAAAATAAAAAAAAGATTTAAAAAGAAGGAAATATTTATATAAAGACCACAATAAAACAACAGTAAAATATAAATGAAAGAAAATAAAAAAAGACAGAAAGAAAAAAAAAGAAAAAAACAATCTATGGTTAGAGCTGCAGATATTAGAATATCAATAAACATATACTATGATATTTGACATGACATATATGACGTGGCATTTATATGATATAAAAAGTAACATACTACCTTGGATTTTCTAAATGTCTGCAGCTCTATCTATGATAAACTGTACTATTATAACTCATACCAGATAAATATAAAAGAATTATAATCAAATTAACTGGTGGTGATCGTCACCACCCCTAAATATATTTAGGATTAGGGTTAGAAATTAGAGAATTATTTTTTTTTATATAAAATAATATAGAGCTACTATAAGGGCCCAATCACAGTTTTGTGAGGTTTTTGGGAGTCCTGAACATTTTTACTTAGAGAAACCGATCCCATTTACTTAGTACGTTTTTTGAGATACAGGCACCCTGGTGATGATTACCACCGGTTATAGTTAGATTAATTCATATAAAAATTATATAACAAATATAATATTTATATATCTCTATTGTAAAGCTTCACCTCAATATTAATTTTTTTAATCTTACAAACTACTTTGGATAACTTTGTAGTATTGTATTCATTAAATTTGAAAAGTAAACAATACTAATCTTTTAAAGAAGGTAAGCCAAATCCTATTTTTTAAAAAAAAAATTTTAGAAGACTAACAGAAAAGCAAAAATAAGTAAAAAAAAGAACCACTTGTTCAAGTAAAAGGTGTATGGCTTAAGAAAAATATATATTTTTGGTTTTTCTTTATATTTTTATAAAAGTATAGTCTAAGAGCTTTGTTAACAAGGAAAGATCTCTTTAGTTCTATTAAGATTTTTTATACAAGAGCACCTCCTGCCAGTTGTCTTGTATAATAATGCACCTGGCTTGTATATCAAATATTATTTTAGAGAAGTTCTACAAGCAAAAATATTAACATCTAGAAAAACTACTATATTAGACTATGACTTTTTAACAAAAATTATGTTTTTCTTAAATGAAAAATTTTAGTTCAAGTAATTATCAGAAAGAGTTTTTTTTTTTTTTTTTTTTTTTTTTTTTTTTTTTTTTTTTAACAACAATGTCTCTTTATTACTCATTGATAGAATGTACATTATATACATTATTTTTACAAGATTTCCAGTTCAATCTATAGGTAATTTCTTACCCCAGATGTCCTAGATCCCTCCTCCTGTGGTGTTTCAGTTTTTGAATTTCTATAACCATACTTGAGTGAGACGTACCAAACCTTACAGCCCAGTATAGTCATAGTTAATCCCTATTTACCTCACCATTGGTCTGTATGGCGTGTGTATTTTGCTTACCCTGACTTCGGGTGTCTCTGGATCATTGGATGGTAGGATATTTTCATTTTTGCTAGATATCACATGTCCCACATATATATTTATCTAGACTTTAGTAATCTATGCCACAGCACTATCCATACACTTGAGGTCAGAGCTAATTATTGAACCCTTATGATTACTTACTTTTTGCCCTTATTCGGTTTACAACAACCCCAGTACCCACATTTGAAACTATCTTTTTACTCAGATTCTTTATCAGTCTCTCCCTTACTTCTAGCTGGCAACCTGGACAGGTTGGTCTGCCCAGGCTTTAGGTGTCTGAAGAACGTCCTCTCCTTGGTCCATACTTTTGAAGCGTATGCTCTTTTTTCAGTGCTTTAGCTTGGTGGTTTGGCTGGTGGGATCCCACTTAAGGACCTGATTGCTCGGTTCTCTGATCTTGGGTCCTGGTTTAAATTCAGCCCTCCTGTAGTACTGTCAAAGATCACTGTTACCTCCAAATTCGGGACTTCCCAAATAGGTTTTCAGTTATGCTAGTTACTCAGATTTATTGCACTATTGCTCCCATTACTAGATGGTGTGACCAAACTTACAGATTTATTTAAGATCCAACTGATAATTATAACTGTTAACCATAATACAAGAACCACTACACTGATCTATTTTTCAAAATTCGTCGTCCATGGGATTCAAACTCTAGACCTGCCACTTGGAGAAGGTAATAACTAGACCACTATACTAAGTTGCCACACCTCTATAAGAAAGAGTTTTTAAATAATATATATTTTAAAAATTTTATATAATTTTTTATTAATATATTTTTGTATTTTAAGTTTAAACCTAAAATAAAAAATAAACTAATAAAAGTTATCCAAATTATATATATTTTTATATTTGATTAACTTTAGGAGAAATTACAAATAAGAGCCCAAAACTGAAAATAATTACAAATAAGGGCCCAAAATGAAAATAATTACAAATAGAGGCCCGAGTTTTGAAAATTATTACAAATAAGGGCCCAAATATATTGTTAGCTAAAAAAATCAGGTTAAATATAATAA